AGGGGTTGGTGGAGGAAGTAAGTAGTCATCCTCACAATGTCCTCTGGATGAACCTGGTCCTCGCACAGGCTGTCTTGTTATTTGGCTCTTTCCAAGGCTTCTGGCCATAGTACAAACTATAGATCCAGGTTTTACCAGTTTTTTAAGCACTAGTTCCCGCTCATCAGTCTTAAAAGATAGGCAAAATTCTGTTGTTGTATAGCAAAGGACTATCTGTTCTTAACACACTTGATTACACAGCAAACTATAATCTGTTTACATTTATTTATAAGTTCCCTATATCATAGGAAACATGAAAGGCTACTCATGACTATGAGAAATCTTATGAAGCTGACTGTAGCTTCCTTTGATTATATTGAAAAAAAATTAATTGTTTTGAGCACATAATATAGGGTACAGCCTGCTATTTATGCACATTTTCACTCTTAAATGTTGATTAAAGTGTAATGATTTAAACTGACTATATTTAGTGATTAAGCAATAAAATAAATCAAGGGGTTTTCAATCTCCAAAACAAACTTACATTGCTTCTGACAAAGTGCATTGTGTATATTTTGCAAGGAAAGTAAACTTGTCAAACTAAAAAAATTAAATAGACTATATATTGTCATTCCCCTTTGAAAGATTTGTCACTACAGCTTGTTTTAAACACAAAGATCTAAAATGTGTTTTTCCTGAGTTATTAATTTTTCCAGGGTACGGCAGGGTACAGATTATCACCAATGCAATATTATATTGAAAATAAACGTCTGTTATTAATGTCAATAAGATGATGCACACTCACCAAGAACTCAGTTTTTCTTCCACACATAAGTATATTTGCTAAAAACAAAGATATCCAACTGTATTAGGTTTGCATGGACAGGTTGGGAGGGGGAAACCTACAGGGGTGGCTTTTTTGAGAAGCTGCCAGAAGCTTCCTTTATGTCCAACACAGCTAATACCAGCTGGCTCCAAAATGGACCTGCAGCTGGTCAAGGCCGAGCCAATGCCTCTGATAACATTTAAGAAGTGAAAAAAAAAAGTTATTGTGCAGATGTAATTGGAGCCAGAGAAGAGCGGAGTGAGAATATGTAAGAGGAACAACTCTGTAGAATCCAAGGTTAGTGCGATTCGCTCCAATGCTGAGCCAAGAGTCACCTCAGAGACTGATTCAGTGAGGTATTTGCTTTATTCGGCGCCAAGTATGTGGGGGGTCTCTCCTCCTAACAGGCACACCCAGAACTTTTACACTGCACAATTTATGGTTAAATTTCATGCATATTCATTACATTCCTTGGGATGGGAGTGGTTATACAAATTACTTCTTGGAAATCATTATCATTAGCATATGTGATGAGCAAGCACAGTGTACTCTGGTGGTCACCCTGAGAAAGGTTCCGAGTCTTGGGGTTTGTTCAGATGAAGTCTAGCAGTCTTCCTCACTCTGCCCTTTTCACCTTTCTTCCTGAAGCATGTGCAGTCCTTCACTGGATGGTTCAGCATTTTCTGCTGACAATAGGTTTTGTTCCTCTTATCTTGGCAGGGTACATTCTGTTTCTCTTGACAAGGCTAAGGCGCATCCTGCTTCTTAGGTTTGTGATTAATATTTGCTGACTCTTAATAGTTAACTCATGCTTACATGAGTTAGCTATTGATCAACTCCTTTCATGCAGAAGGAGGGGGAGGAGGTGCTCCAGGTGCTGGAACTGAGATTCCCCTGCAGCCTGTGATGAAGACCGTGGTAAATCAGGCTGTCCTCCTGCAGCCCATAGAGATCATCAGGGGAGCAGAGATCCACCTGCAGTCCATGGAGGAGACCCATGTCAGGACAGGTGGATGCCAGAAGGATGGCTATGACCCTGTGGGAGCCCACACTGGAGCAGACTCCTGACAGGGACCTGTAGACCCATGGAGAGAAGAGCTCACACTGGAGCAGGTTTGCTGGTAGGACTTGTGACCCTGTGGGGAACCAACACTCGAGCAGGCCATGCTTGAAGGACTGCACCCTGTGGAAAGGGACCAATGCTGGAGCAGTTGGTGAAGAACTGTAGCCCAAGGGAAGAGTTACATTAAAGAAGTTAATGGAGATCTGTCTCCTGTGGGAGGGACCACACGCTGGAGCAGGGGAAGGACTCCTCTCCCTAAGCAGAGGTAGAAACAACATGTGATGAACTGACCATAACCCCATTCCTCTCCTCCCTGAGCCATTGAAGGGAAGGAAGTAGGAAGAGAACCAGAAGTAAAGCTAAGCCCAGGAAGGAGGGAGGAGTAGTGTCACCGTTACAACACAGAGAGAGAGAGAGAGACTCACACCTGACTCCAAGGAAATCGAGCAGGAAAAAGACCTCTTTATTTACATTACATGTCTATTTATAGAATTCCAACAATGAGCATGGATTGGACAGTGATGATGAGACCTCTTGACTCCATTGGTTCATCACATGTCCCTCAATTCTCTCTTCCTCCAAGGAGGAATGTAAAACATCCACTGTTTACCAGAAAGAGTGTGAGAAAGTGTAAAAGAAATCTGTCAACATCAGAAGGCTGAAACACCAGGGCAACATCTCACCCTTTTACCATTTAGAAAAGAAAAAGAAAAAAGAAAAATTAACAATGTAGAAAGGGAAAATGAACAATGATCAGTCTCTGTTCGTGGTCGTCTCATCAGAGTGATAACTCGCTTCATCTGCATCTGAGTCCTCACTCGATGAGTCGTCCACTTGATGGCTTTCAGTTTGGTCACGGCTTCAACCCTGCCTGTCAGCTGGATTCTGTCTCTGCAGTTACAGGTCAGGACGGACACACCTCAAAGGTACCCAGCGGGCCCCAGTATCTGTGGACACACGTGTACCCGTGCCCCGAAGCAACAAGGCCATAAAAGCCTTCCCACTGTTTGGTGACTAGATTTCGCACCTGAACTTTGGCTCGAGGCAGGTGCATCTCGTCCGAAGCCTGCAACGAGAAGTGGTGATTCAAAATGACAGGGTTATTTGAGTTCTGCGGCACCTAAGGTAATTGGTGTAGAAAGCCTTTGCCAACCAACAGTGCATGGTTTCACCCTGCATTCCCCATTTGTTTTTTTCAAGAACCTGCTTCAGAGTACTGTGACTTGACCAGTTGGACCATTGTCGGTTGTCACAGCAGAAGCCATGCCTAGAGAGGCAAAGGCCTGCCACAGTGGGCAATGACAGCACGGGCTTTTTCTCCAGTGTGAGCTGAAGCCCACATCAGAGAGGAGAACGTGTCCCACCGTTACATGCACATATTTGAGCCAGCCAAACTTGGCAATCTGGGTAACATTGTCCCGAGCCTCAGTTGGCAACAGCTGAAGTTGCTTCTGCAATGTATGTGCGTCCTGATGGAAAAACCCATGCGATGCCTTGGCCTGCGCAAGTGTATCAGGCTGAGGTGCTACCCATGCTGGGTTAGCTAACTTGTCAGCCCTCGCATTACCTTCTGCTATAAATCCTGGCAAATCAGTGTGACTCCTCACATGCAGAATGTAGAATGGATGAACCCTGACCTGAATGACACACCACAAGGTTTTCAGTAAATGAAACAAGGCACGATAACTGACCTCCTTCAAAACTGAACAACCCAACCGCTGTGTGATGTCGGCCACATAGGCTGAATCCGTGACCAAACTGAAAGTTTCCTAAGAAAATCTCTCAAATGTCATGACAGCAGCTCTCAATTCAACCAATCGGGCTGTGCCAGTCTCATGACTTTCGAGAACCTGCCACTCAGATCCATCCTGTCAAATAACAATGGCCTTTCCTGGTCATCTTGAGCCGTCAGGAAAGACAGTGGGTCCTTGCATCGGCCTCTATGTCTGGGCTGCAAATAAAAACAATTTGATTTCGCCACATGCAGTAGCCTGTGGCTGGGCAGATGACAAGTGATCTGCCCTGAAAAACTGTCGAGAGCACTTTGCAGAGCAACATTTCTTGCAAAGGCCACCTCAAAGTCCTGTGGACACACACATTCACAGAGCTAGGGAATTACAGCTTGGAAATTATTTTCAGGCCTGGATTTCTCCTGACTCTCAGCTCCATTCCCAGGCTGACAAGCTGACTACAGCTTCAGTTAGGGAGTCAGTCTCCCAGAGTGATAACGTGGTGAAAAACAGAATGGAATTCATAATAAAGATTAACACCTGGTGTCTTTCCCATGGGACATCCGGACATGCTGTCCCAGGGATGTTTTTCCCAATTGTCCAATGAACTACTGTCCTGTCCTAGCTGCACGTAACACACTTTAAATACGGTTTGTCCGTACAATAAAGTTGGCCTTTTTTCCCCAAAAGAGGTCTGTGTGTGTTGCTGTCTTTTCTCTCTCTTTGCAGCGCAGTAACCACAAAGTCCTCCCGCAGTTCCGGGAGTATGATTTCTGCAAGATCTGCTCCCCTCAACTGCAAGCACCATTGCCGGCCTGTGAGCAGGAGGAGAGCAAGCAATTCAAAAGTTGGGGATGCCATCTTTCATAACTGATGATGCAGAAAGACCCATTCCAATACGTGCAAGGGATCAGACCATTCGTCTTCTCATTGGCCAATGCTACCTGTAGGTTGTCGATCTGGAACGATCTCTGTGCAGGTTCATCCGTGTTGAAAGCTGGCATTAAAAAAACAAATTTTGGATTATCATCAGGATACAAAGGAATCAAAAAGAAACAGTCTTTCAAACAGTGATGAGAACTGACACTGTGAATGCAACCTTTGATGTATCATCAGGATGCAAAGGAATCAAAAAGAAACAATCTTTGAAATCAATTATGAAAAGTGGCCAATCTGCAGGAAGCATGGTGGGCTACATCAGACCAGGCCGTGGCACCCCATCTGCTCCATCAACACAGTGGCCCCCATTAAAAATCCGTTCCAATGCACACCCCCCACGGGAACAGAGCATCACTCCCCCAGAGGGTAGCAAAAGTTGAAACAACGTGAGGCCGAATTGTGGTCGTTTGTCCCTCCTGGTTCGTTATCAGCACGGACCACTGCCTCTCATAGCACTGCTTCGTTCCTTGACCGGGAATCAAACCCGGGCCGCAGCGGTGACAGCGCCGAAGCCGAACCACTACACCACCAGAGAGGGACATGGCATGCAGCATCTTGGGACGTTCTTCAGTCAGGAGAGCTGGTCAGCGAACTGCAGGCAGCCCAGGGAACCCAAAGCCACCATCTACTCCTGACCAGTCAGCTGATTTGCGAATACAAGACTCAAAAGAAAAAAGTTGAGCAAACCGCGCTCTTTTCAGAACTGCTGGTTTCCCGTCCACTTTTGTGGGAGACAGAGGAAGTGCAGCCAAGCCGGCGGCCAGGGCCGCGCTAGCCCCCACAGAGCCCCCGGCTGCCATCAGGACCGCTCCAGCCTCATCCCCCTCTGTGGCAGGGGAGGGGCGTAGTGCAGAGGAAGGACGTCCCTGGGGAACCGCGTCCCCGCTTCGCGCTGTGGCCATGGAGACTGGCCCGGCCACCGCCGGGATCGCTCCAGCCCCAGCGGCGCCTGTGTCCGACAGCACGGCACGCGAATCCGGTGCAGGCCGGCACGGAGTTCCCCCGGCCTCACATCCACCCCCCTTCTTGGCAGGGTCGGGGTGGAGAGCAGGGATGACCAGCTCTCGGGGAGCTGTGTCCCCAGCCATGGGGCCTGGATCGTCCGGCACCAGTGGTGGGGGCATTCCGGGCAGCAGGGGGGATTGCACAGGGCCAGCCGCTCCGAACTCGCCTGCAGCTAGAGGTGGCGGGACGGGTGGATCTGGTCCCACATCATCCAGCGGACACTCCACAGTTCGGACACAGTGTTGTAATCGATTTTGAGCCCAACAAAGGTGGCGGCCAGGCCAGAGTCCCCCTGCAGCCCCCATGCGCAGAGAACGCACAGAGGGAGGGCAGCTTTCCCCCTCCCAACCGCTCCTTCTGTGCGGGGAGGGGCGGGGCCGGCAGCTGGACCAGGGACGCCCCGCATCCCTCGACTGCCAGGAATGCACGGGGGGGGCAGCCCAACCCCCCCTACCGCTCCCGTGGGGCCCCACCCGCCCCCTGGCCGCTGAAGAATAGCTGGCCAAGGGCGGTCCCCTGGCCCCCAGCCCAGAGAGAACGGGAAAACTCCAGCAGGGGAAAAAACTCAGAACTCTCATCAGATTTGCTGTCCATCTCCAAAGCAGGAGATGGAGTCCCACCCTGAAGGTCCTCTACGGATCCTCGGGGACTAAAAACATCCTTCAGAAGGCTGTCAATCCTTTTCCAATGCAGCAAATGCCATGCTCCATCTGTCCCACAGGCAGAGTATCCCAGAGACGGCCACCCACAAGAGACTACTCCTCCCTAGACAGTGTGTCCTAGGGTGATGTGATGGTGTTTGTATCTCCAATTGTGTGTTCTGTTTATGTTTGGTATTATGTCCTGTGCTTTCAGGACTGACTCTGAAGGTGAAGGTTCATTTTGTTATCAGCCGGCTTACTCCCCCACGGTCTGTGTTTAAGAGAGGCTGGCTCCTGCCGGCCTTTTTTTTGCTTGCTTGCTT